TCCAATCGAACAGCTTTGGACCGTGAACCCAACGAGCGCACAACAGGACAGACCCGCGCAGTAATAGCCCTCAACTACCCAGTGATCGAACGAAAGCTAAACGAACACACAGCGGTAGACGTTCGTGACCTGTCAGCGATACCTAACACAGTCCCCGTAGGTTCGGGTCATATCTCGCGATTGAAGTATAATCCCGAGACCCAACGGGAAGAACAAGAAAAGCAGACCTTCAAACGAGGTTGCATATTTGAATCGACCCAAAGGTAATTGCAGTTGGCAACTCATCTGCCTATATTCATTTTCAGCGACGGCGATTAGAGTCCTTGGAAATAAGCTTGAAAGTTCAAACTTTTTGAACCAAGGATAAATCAGAGACGAGCATGGCCTGTGGTGTGAAATGGTGCTTTTCTGGCGCGAAAATTTGGAAATTGAAGTTCCATAAAAATAAATAGAAAATGTGGAAAAAAGAAATAGTCAACTCTGAGGGGAAAATGTGCTTTTCCCTCTCAATAAGTGACACCCGTGTGGACCAGTGCGCAGTTTAACGGAAACTAAAATTATTCCTTGATAGCTGTAGTAGTGGTGTACGCTGAATTTGGCCACCGAATCGACATTTCATCACATTTAAAACCCCGCGTCGATTGTGCTTCTAAGCGTTCATTCTGTTAGGACGGAGCTTGAGCAGCCCGTCCGATCGCGCACGCCTCCGAGTCAGGTCACGCACACTCACAACGCCCCAGACAAGCTGAGCCCAATTGGAATGAATCATTCAATGTTTGTCCAATCGATATGTCATGGTCGCAATCTGATTGATTCGTGCGTCACTGCGCCGTTTTCGTATGCGCGATTCGTGCTATATATTTACGTATTGAAATCTAATTAAAAAATACACACTGACTATTGTCCCCTGCTGTGTTCTCTTTCCGGGTTATTGTTGAGGGTTAAGCAAGAGTCGCTCGTGTCATTTGTACTTCCAGACCGAACACAACACATTCCTGTTTTACCGCCGTTGATATGACGTTTCATTAAAGGTGAAAGGTCGTGTACACTCTGCAATAATGTGACCCTTGCTGCTTTACGGTCGAGACTTCACAGGTTATAAGAACTATTGCGCATTTCAAAAGCAGTTAGTTCTATTCCACATCTCGTCCGTTTGTAGTTTACGCTAAACGTTGGCAAACATCATGTGAATTCCAATAGATGTCGCACAGATGAGATGTAATGAACTACATTGGGAGAACACATAAAGAAAGTGTCTCATGATCTTGGTTTCAAAAGGCCCTGTAATCCGTTGATCGGAAANGAAACACAAATGGGCATTGCATCGAATCTGTTTTCCTACTTTTTTCGTATCAGGTCAGAATGTATGAGCAGGTGCCTGTGTGTGTACTCTTATACTTTGTACCTCTTGTGTTGGTCATCGTTCGTCCGCTTTTGTTCACCCTCTCAAATCGATCCATTCCGTATCATGTTTAAACACTCATGTTNCTCATGTTCTTCTTTTATCCATTGTTTGCTCGACATTTACGAACGAAGTTTACCTCGCTGAATTCTGCCGTGCTAGTTTGAGAAACGCGAGAGCCATTCGAATTGGTGTCTTTCAGTTATTCAAACAGTAGATCTTATTACTTACCAATAGTAACTAATTCCGGTATGAATGCGCTTTTAATTCCATTTCACCCAGCAATCTGACTTCCGACTTTTCCAAGCCTATCGTGAAGGGAATTTGAACCTGGATGTACTCAGTACACAACCATCTTCAGGTGCGCTAGAACACTCAGCCCGCAATAGTCAAGATGCTCCAGCCATGTCAAATCAGCCACCGGCCCTTCCACGTTCATGGGCTGTGGTACCGAATAACCCGAATGCTAAATTGGATAAGATCCTCACCATGCCTCGGACTTTGGGTGCTCTGTGCAAATCATCCGTTACAACGCAATCCATCAGTTCCACCGTGACCACAACAGAACCAGGAGTATCGCGTTCACCGTACACTGCTCCAGTTGATCAGACGTATGTTATCTCTTTTTTTGAATCTCCATCCACCTACGCATCTGAGATTATTTTTCACGGCTTCTTTATTTCGTTGAAGTAAATGGTTTGATTATTTAAAGATTATTCCATTTCACACCATTATTGTTTCGCATCTGACAAATCCACTGGCGACTGTTACTGACCGTTTTTCTTTTTCTAATTGTTTACTGCTGAGGGACGATTAAGCTTCCTGGATATTTTTTGATGGCAGATCTTGTGCGACGGTTTATGGTGAAGTCAGTGCAGGTGGTGAATTCAGTCGCGGTTCTGCAGACAGAACATGTAAACCAAGTGTGGACATTATTGTTTTACGTTCGAATTCATCCGTGTTTAGAGCTTTTCCTCAAACCGGAAGCTCCAGCTTGGACGAGGAGGTTTGAGTCCATGTTCTAACACCTCGACGGCTGGACGTAACGAAGTATGAAAAAACTATTCTGGCTGACGGAACTAAATAGTTTCGATGACTGTTCGGTGTTTGTGCATTGTTATGCAACTTCATTATTCGTAAGCGGGGCGTCCCAAATGACTTTCATTCATGATTGTATTGTATTGTATTCAAGCTATAGCGAGTTATATATTTACAAGCTTTCAGCCAAAAAATAGACCACCGTTACAATTCTGGTAAAAACAGGGGAAAAAGTGGGATGTGAAAACGTACGAAGGTATGAGTTAATTACCAAATGCATTAGAAAGCTCAGAGTGAACACTTTCCTTGTCAGTCAGTATCCGGGCAAGATGAGGTACCAAAGAGTTTCTGTATGCGGATATGCGAGACGGGAT